GGAAAAAGTATTTTTATTTACAAAATTATCCACTCACTGAGTTATAGGCTCACATTTTTTTTACAATTTCTCTTATCAGATAGTAGTTGAGTTGAGCACTACTGGGCCAATTGATCTATCGAGTTAAACTATAAAATGTTAAGTATTGTATGACTCATCTTATTAGTTTAACAGTTCATATTTTGGAATAAACACATCTTTTGGTCAGAAATTAGTTCCATGTTTTGGGCCTGCTATGTTTTGTATATATTATGCATTTTGGGTACTGTGGTTTATAAATTGTTGCAAAGGTCAAATTGCCAGTGTTGTATTTGAATAGTTGATTTTCTGTGAGCCAGTGTGCCCTATTTTAAACTATATGCATCTGTTTGGGATATTGGATTATATATTTCAGGTGGTTTTAGTCTATAATTCAGGGGGAACTCTGCCAAAATTTTTACAAAGCATATCATAGTCAATACAAGTCGATGTTGCCTTGATGGTGGGTCCGGCACTTAACTGGTATCTACTATCGACGCACGACGTGTGTCGAGTCTATTAGGATGATTCGGGACGGGTCGTGTCAATTGGTATCAAAGCATGATATAGTTGTTGTTAAGCTCGAGTAATTCATAAGTTCTTATTCAGAATTGTATGTCATTGAGACTGTTAGCCGTGACATGGTGGCAAAACTCACAGGCTCCAATATGGTATTTGAAATTCATATTACCCTTGATAACGAATAAATGGCAGCTAAGAAACTAGAAGGATCTTTATTGATTTGGGCATAATAATTATGGGGATGTTATTGATAATTATCCGATTGTAAGATGAGTTGTTAGAATTGTCGTGTTGGCGCTATGTTAAATTTTCTCTAATATATTAATAATTGTGCTATAGATCCAACATGCAGTTGAGCAAAGAGTATAACTTTTCTTAGTAATGAGATTTATTGGGTTATGAGTTTCTCTTATGACTACAGGAAATGTCTTGTAGATGCCTTAGATGATAAGTATGGTCTAATGTTGTTATATGTATAGTTGGTGACGTTATGAGTTGAAATCTTGATTGCCTTGTAAGGTAAATAATTGAGGTACTATGAGAATTATTGTAGAAAATTGTGATCATATTTAGTATATGGAGGAAGATGCATATATTAGAAAATCAAAATGTGGAGATATGATAAGGAATCTTGTTTATGACAAATAAATAAATAATGAAACCATATGGAATGGTGATTCATGACGAAAAATGATGTTATTAAATATGTTTTACTTTGTGATTTTGAGTAAATTAATGTGATCGTGGCCTATCTTCTGTTGATTCAGGGACAAGCAAGTATCTAGGTTTGTATTTCAACTACTATTGAAGGAAAGAAGGATTGGAATTTATCTTGATATGTACATATCTAATGGGTGACATGAATAAGAAATAGCGTAACGTTGAAGAACGTGAGAAAATTAGCATGATTAAATGTTGAGATCATACGGTATTAAGATATTCAATATAACAAGGTTTTATGATTCCAAAGGACATTATGAATGGTGGTGCACTAAATTTATAATTAGTGGTACGTCAAAATAATATTGGGATTATTGTGTTAGATTAAAATCCATTGAGAGGACATGTTAAATTATAAGTATAAGTTGAGTTCTATGAGTTTTGTTTTGCTATTGGATTATTATCTATGCAGTTGTGATTTTAGATTTCATGAATTAAGAATTTCATTCTCATCGAAGTAATATGATAAGGAATTCATGGATGACAGGTTATCTTATTGTCGAGACTAGGATTAAAGAATGTTTATTTTGGATATGATGGTAACTTAGCTAAGGTTATTCTAGCATAAAACTTTTATAGACATTTGAAGATCAGTAAGGATTTAGATTCACATTGCGTTATCGAGGTCATGGCATTCTAGTATGGGAAATAAATTTGGTGTCGAGATGATATTTATTAAAAAGGAAAAACAAAATCTTGATGGTACATTAATGTGTGAAATGTCCCTTGATAGTTATAAGGAGCACTATTTTTGTAATCTTAAGGAAATAGGTATAATCAAATGTATCAAGTTATACAATGTGACCATAAATGAGAAGGTTACATGATATGGTGAATGGCAAGTAAATTAATGTTATGGTTGTCCTATAGCCAAATAATGTGATGAGATATTTGGGTTATTAAGTTGTTAATTTTGTTAACGCCATTTGTTGGATTAATATGTTATATTACATACCATTTGGAGGCTTTGAGCTAAATTATGGAAGTTACGGTGAATTTGATCAATTTTTAGTAAAGTAATTTTTGGATTAGTTTCGATGTACTTTTGGATTTCACGAATAAAATATTCTATTCTTATCGAGATCTATTAGCTATGGAATATATGGATAATATGTTGGATAATCAAAGTATATGGTGATTGTCTAATGCAAATTTTACTCGATTGTCGAATCATAAGCTATGGATTATATTACAGATCGTTAAAGACTTATGATTAAAACATGATATATAGATGGCTATATTGGAGTAGACATTTAGAAATTGTGGCATCACATGGTGGAAAGATCAATACTTACTAACCACATGATGTTAAAGTATATTTGTATTCGAAGGAGTTGAACTTGAAGTTGTGTATATATTATCATTGGGTGATATAGAATTAAAGGAAATGAACACCATTTTGAGCTATCCCAATTGTTGTTGGGGATACCTAGAATGTTAGAAATCATGAATAATTGAATTTTTGCAGATATTGTCAGTTGAGAATGGAAGTGGTTACCCTTAAATATTTTTCATTTGGAGCTCTAGGTATATAGAATGGAGACGAAATGATATTGGGATCATTTTTGATAAACCGATAAAGATTCTTTTCAAATGATATAGTCAGTTCATGAGATAAATTTATAGAATTGCATATAAATAAGATTATAATTTATATGGTGGAGTTGAGTATCTGTCTTTGCCTTAGTTGTAAGGGGTTATAAGATTAAATTACATTGTGCTGCTTCTTTTAATAGAATGTCAGACACGATGAGTACAAGTTCAGAAGAGAGGTTATCAACTATGGTTTGTTAATTAAAGAGGGCTTGGATAATTATTTATTTTTCATGGATTTGATCTATAAGAATTAGACATAAGTGGCAATAATTGAGGTTATTTGTATTGTTGAAATACTCCAAGGAAATATTTATTGTGATGAAATTGGCAAAAGGAAGTTATTTAATCTTAATAGGTAACCACTGTTTAAAAAAAAAAAAGGATTAGAGGATAGTTCAAATCATGACAAAAGGTGAAGTTTTGGAGAATATGAAAAGTAATATCTTGAACTTCGAATTGGGAAATAGCTGAATTTTTCTAAGATTTGGTAAAATGAAATGATTGAGAATATTCATATATTGGCCTTTGTGAGGGTCCAATTTATTAATGATGAAGTTTACAGCAGGTTTATCTTGGTATTTAAGAATGTATTGTCTATTTCTAAGGCTTAGTAAGTGGATGTTAGATTTACCTTATGTTTTCATATTATTACTAAAGTTGAAGAGAACTTAACTTAGAAAAGCCAAATAAGGTGTAAGATATGAAAGAATGAAAATGTGTTTAGTGAAAGGTTGTTGGAGAAATTATTGGCATGTGAGGATGAATTGTGTACTCTATGTCTTTATATGTTTGAATCTTAGCAAATTGAATTTCAAGGATGAGCTAGTAAGCTTATATGGTGCTCTACTATCTGTGGTGTCTGATAGAGATCTTCACTTTACATTTAAATTTCGGCATAGTATGTAAGAACCCATGGGTACTAAACTACATTCAATGTAGCTTTTCATTCTCTGATAGATGGTCAGTTAGAGAGGACCATACATATTCATAAGAATATGTTAAGGGTGTGTGTATTAGAGTTTTAAGGTAGTTGGAATACCTAATTGTCGTGGATGGATTTACTTACAATAACAATTACCACTCCAGTACAGAAATGTCTTCTTTTGAAGTTTTATATGGTAGGAAGTGTAGAACACCAGTTTGCTGGTATGAAAATGGTAAGAGAAAATAGGCCCTAAATTAGTTCAAATGACTTTAGAAAATGTGATATTGATCAAAGAAAAGTTGAGAGCAACGCTAGATAGACAGAAAAGTTATGCAGATAGACGCGGGAAAGATCTTGATTTCATAGTAGGAGGTAAAGTTTTTCTAAAATTGTTGCCTTGGAAAGGGGTTTTGAGATTTGGCAAGTGAGGAAGGTTAAGTCCACGATACATTGAGTCATATAAGATTATTAGATGGATTGGTCCAATTGTGTATAGATTAGATTTGCCAACTGAATTATCTCGGATCCATGATCTTTTTCATGTGTCCATGCTTCGTAAGTACATTGCAGATCCTTTTCATGTTCTAAAGTCTCATCCAGTTCACTTGATGGAGAATTTGACTTATATAGAGGAGCTAGTGAGAATTCTAAATAGAAAGGTGCAAATTCAGCAGAACAAGACAGTTTCACTTGTTAAGGTACTTTGATAGAATCAGATAGTAGAAGAGGCTACATGGGAGCATGACAATCAGATTCGTGTTCAATATCCTCATCTATTTGTTACCTAATCAGAAGCCAGTTGAATTTCAAGGACGAAATTCTTCTAAGGAGGTAAGATTGTTACAACCCACATTATTTAGTCAAAAGTCAAGAGTTGAATTTTCAAAGTCAAAGTCACATAGGGACTTAAATGAAATAAATGTCTTTATTGGGACTTGAATTGACTAAAATATTTTATTGGGGTTTATTTTGCAATTGACAATATATGAGAGTTATATTGGATGCAATTGGAAGTTGAAAATTTACTTATACATTTTTGGGAAGTTTAGGATTTAAATGTTAGCTCATATTAGAGAAGAGGGACTTTTCTTGCAAATTGAAGTTAGTGGGTTTTTAATGCCTTTGACCATCACTTTTTCTCTGATAAATCACACACACACACACTAGAAGAAAGAAAGAACCGGCAGAGAAGAAGAAAAAGGGAAAGAAAGGAGGGAAGAAAAAGAAAAGGGAAAAAAGGAAGAAGAGAAAGAAAGGAAAGAGGTAGTTCTAGGTTCATTTCCATTTTTCCTCTCTTTTTATTTTCTTCAAGAGGTAGATATATTTTATGTTAAATTCTAGGGTTTTATTTTGGCTCGAAAATTTTCAGATTTTTGAGAGGAATACTACTTGGAGCTCAAGTTATTAATTCTTGAATTTCTATCTATACTAAGGTAAGGAGATATTAATTTTTTTGGACAAAACCTAGTTTTTAAATTTGATGATTGAGCATGGATTATTTGTGGAAATGATTACATTAATGGAATTATTCCCTTGGAAGAATGATTTTGGGGAATGATAGATATATTAATTTGGTTGTATTATGATTTCTCGTTTTTCACTAAAATGAAAGGGACAAATATTGTTATGATTCTAATGAAGTTAAATTTGGATGTGGTATATGATTGTGAAGGTAATAGAAAGTGGAAATTAGCTTCGATTGATTAAAGGAAATTTAGGAAAATTTCGCAAGTCTCGGGGAATTTAGTTTAATTATTATATCATTAGAGATTAAATGTTTCTTTATTTTAATAGTGATTAAATTAGTTATTTGCAACGTATTACAGGTGGTGATGAAGAATTGGAAAAGCTTATCGACCGGCCTAGTCTGTAGCTCGTATTGAGTGAGTGGATAAAACTTATTTTTCAGAAATAAGTCTTCTTTAAATTTTAAAGTTATTTATTTTATAAAGTTGACTTCATAGCATGATTTTCAGAATAAAATGAATTTTATTATCAATTGCTTTTAAAGTTAAATTCAGTTCAGTTAAATTATTTTAGTAGCATGTTATATTCATATTACATGTTTTAGTATAGTTAAAGTTATTTCTAAAAACCACCATAAAGTATCCAGGTGATTTTACCCTAGTTTGCACTGATGTGAATGTGTTTCCACAGTGTATGACTAGTTATAGTGATTTTACCCGCTCTGCATTATCGTAAATATGTTTCCATAGTGTATGACTAGATTATCAGAGGTCTTTGGGACCTACTCTCGTACACACATGGGCTTTGGGCCGTGTACTAGGGTGATTAGCCTTTGGGGCAGCTCTGCGTACGTATGACCAGATTATCAGCTATCGGATTATTAGATTTGAATGGCTTTGCCTTGTACATTTAGATTACTCGGTACATGAGTAAGGCTATTCATTGGGTACTCTTTTTAGTGTGATTTTTCAGTATTTATTCAGTTCTCAAATTTCAGATTATGGAATTTAGTTAATTCAGTTTTTAGAATAAAGCTTTCAGTTTCTAGTATTGAGCAGCAGCAATATTTCATAGATTTTCATGAATATCAGATTCTTTATATTTGTTATACCTTACAGATACTTATCTAGAATTTAGAACAAAGAATTTTATAATGTAATCATGTTTAGTTTTTAAAAGTATTACTAGATTCAAAAATTCTCAAGGATTTAATAAAGTTAACATTTTTAGAATGTTAGCATAAATGGAAAAAGTATTTTTATTTACAAAATTATCCACTTACTGAGTTATAGGCTCACATTTTTTTTACAATTTCTCTTATCAGATAGTAGCTGAGTTGAGCACTACTAGCCAGTTGATCTATCGAGTTGAACTATAAAATGTCAAGCATTGTATGACTCATCTTATCAGTTTAACAGTTAATATTTTGGAATAAACACCACCTTTGGTCAGAAATTAGTTCCATGTTTTGGGTCTGCTATGTTTTGTATATATTATGCATTTTGGGTACCATGGTTTATAAATTGTTGCAAAGGTCAAATTGCCAGTGTTGTATTTGAATAGTTGATTTTCTGTGAGCCAGTGTACCCTATTTTAAACTAAATATATCTGTTTGGGATATTGGATTATATATTTCAGGTGGTTTTAGTCTATAATTCAGGGGGAACTCTGCCAAAATTTTTACAAAGTATATCATAGTCAATACAAGTCGATGTTGCCTTGATGGTGGGTCCGGCACTTAACCGGTATCTACTATCGGCGCATGACACGTGTCGGGTCTATTAGGATGATTCGGGACGGGTCGTGTCATTATGTTTCTTCATTAATTGAATCATCTTTTTTATCACAGTTCAGACACATTATGGATTTTGTACAGGTATGAAATTTTGAAAGTTTTTACTACCAATTTACAATAATATTGACTATGGATTAACAGCTGGTGTGTAATTCATTGTGGCCTCTACTTCTTGCTAAACTTATGTTGTGACTTCTCCAATTCAATTCACTGTAACCAATATTCACTCATCTATCTACAGTTGTCAGAATCAATTATAGCATTCTGGTGATTTGATTGTGCAAAATTCAAAATCAACATATTACAAATTCATTCCAGCTTATGAGGTCGCATAGCTATGTAGAATTTCTGTTTCAATTGCATCAACATCTGTCAAGGTACCTATATGCGATTGTGGGAATTGTGGGATTATTATTACAATAAGCATAAGCTGAATGGTGATTTGTATTATATTGCGACCAATGCATCTATTTGTGAACGTCTTCCGTATATATTATATTCAATTTGTGACTATTGATGGTATTCTAAATATTTAGATTTCTAACCTTTATGTTTGTGACCACTTCCGTTTTATGTGACCAGGAATTTTATTTTGATCAATACTTTTATTTGTGACCTTCTAATATGTATAATATATTTAATTGGTGACTGGTCCTATATTTTTCTAACCATCAAGTTGTAACATTTAAATTTGTGATCAGTGCTATAATATGTGACCATTGCAGTTATTTATGATTAGTACTGATATTCTTGAAAGGTCACAGGTTGTGCAATGTGGAAGTTACGGTGGATCTTACCACAATGGTTTCACTTGCAACAACATGGTGCCACTTACTAGGAAGAGGAAAAATTGAATGGAAAAAAAAAAAAAAAAATCGACGAAAGGTCGTCATATAGTACAGCAATTTGTGTAATAACATCATGATATTCCTTTTGCTTATAATTTCTTTCTATTTATTCAAAGTTTGTGTAATGTTGAATTAACTGAGTTGAAATAATATTCGAATAAGTTTTACTATTCGTCATGAATTGTGATTTGATCTTATGCACAAAAGGGTCAAAAGTGTTTAACAATAATCTCATTTGATGAAATATTTTTACGACTAAACTTGTTATAATGTTGCTAAATTGTTTGTGATCAGATTTGTGTGAAACTGTGACTATAAACTTTCATCGTATGACAAGTATGTGTGAAGTTGTGATTGTTTTTGACTTGTTGTAAAATTGTGATCTAATTTGATTGTTGTGGATATTGCGACGATATCGTATGATTCTGGCTGATCGTGACCTATAATGCATTGAATGTGACCTTTTGTTTGTGACTGTGATATATTCTACTAAGGTCCCATTTGGAAAGGATTTTGAGAATTGATTTTTTGACCGTTAGAAGAAAAGTGGGGTTTACCTGTGAGAAAAGAAATAAAAAATTATGGCTGGAATAATGAAATAACGGTCAAAAAATCCCTTCCAAACACGCTCTAAATACATTATAAACTATGACCTACATGCAAAGTTGTACATGAAGTTAGTGGATATCAGCCAGAGTATTTATGTTCATGCATACTAACTTTTTAATCCAAAGATAAGTTTTCATACATTATAATCATCAATTCCACAAATCTCAAAATGCAGTGACAAACATAAAGATTCCGTTGTCCGTAGTATTATAATGGTAAAATACCAACGCACATGTACATAGTCAATATTCATCTACATGAACATCTACATAAAGATCATACATGAAACTCCCCATTGTAAAATATTCTGGTTATAGAAAATTCAATATATATCTTCATTTCCCATGCCTTTTAATTTGTGTGATTTGTCTATTTTTACACAACAACGATGCAATTTCAAGCCTGGCTCTACTAGCATCAAATGACATGACTTTTCTTGAGAACCAATAGTGTTTGGAAATTAGGTATTTCCAATCCTACATAAATTAGAACGTTGTACATGGCATCAAAATCACGTGTAAAAATGTCACAAACAACACTTACACAAAATATTCAGTTTTGACTATGATCTATAATAAGTGTGACCTTTTATATAAAATTACATTATAAATTGTGACCTATGCAATCACTTGTATTTTGACATGTAAAATTGTACAAGGGCAATACTAATGATTGAGTGCATATCAGTATAAGTTATAGTTTCATGTAAATTTTACTTAAATGTATCTTAATTGAAATCTAAGGTCACAAAATCAAACCGGAAGTCACAAATGTTAACATTAAATATAATGGGATGAATTCACACTTGATTTATAAAAATAAAAGTTTAAGACTTGACTTTTGGAAAGTATAATTAAAAAATAAGGATTTACTTACTTTTCCCATAGATTTTTCCTTTTCATTCCTCATCACCATTGAGTCAAGACTGGTTTTCTTGTTCACTTATTTATAGATAACGTCGAAAATATCCTATTTTTCTCCAAAAACTTAAAAAATACTCTGTTTTACAATTTTTTTTTTCAAAAATAACCTTAATTAAAAATTACATTTTACAATTTACCTCCTTTTATAATGTTTAAAAATGCGTATTTTTCATTTAAAAGCAGCATTTCAATTTTTCATTACAAAAATATTTTCTATGAATTACATGTTAAGATAACATATAAGTTACTGTGTCAGTTTTAATGTGACATTAATATATTTGAATCTTTAATTTAAAACAACATTTTAAGTTAACAATATGTTGCTCTGTTAATATGTGTTATTGCACTCCTTATTATATGATTTGTGTGGTAAACATATATGCTACCGTTTTACATGTGTTAATGTGTTAATATGTTGTCATTCAATGCTATTTCTCTCCATCACTTACCTTATTTTACATGTTATGTGTTCTTATTTTGGAGTAGTAACATAAGTGTTATTTAGAGGGTAACATATGTGATATTTTTATTATGTCTTGCACTATTCCCATCATCATTGTCGCCTTCCAACACTTCCAACTGCTACCAATCGAATAAAAAACAAGTGAAAAAAAAAATTGAAATTCAAGTAAAATGACCATAAATAGAGAGTAACGCAAAGGTTTCCCTATTCTTTCTAGGGTAACATTTTTGTTACTCTCATTCCAAACCCTAACACCACCTTGTTCGACATTATTTTCTACCATCACCACTGTCTTCAACCACCAATTACGTTGAACATTGTTTTTTAATTACGTGTTTTATTTGGCCAAGAAAAGATATGTAACATCTTGAAACCATCGCACCAACATCATCACCTTCTCCTGCCACCACTGCACCAACAATCAACCCCAGCACCACTACGTAACCATCTACCATCGTAACACCATCAAGGATCTAGATTTGAGATAAATATCCACTCTTAGATTTAAATCCAAATCTATATCTTGATTTAAAATGTCAATCTCAAACAATTAAAAGAAGAAGAGAAGACATCGAAGAAAAACTTGAGCTTTAGGTAGCAATGGCATGATGTAGTGGTGTTAGTGACGATGGAGACTACAAGGGTTGGCGACAATGGCAACGAAGGTTGGTAGCGAGTTCGAATTTATTAGAAGAGATTTTTGAGGTTTAATTTTTATTTATTTTATTTTTTGAAATGTTGGGGAAATGCTAATCGGTTTAAAAGATGGGTATTATTGATTAGGATGAATTTACTAAAGCTTTGATTAAAAGGGGGTGATCCTAAAAATTAAAATTAAATGTTTTAGTATAAAAGAGAGGTCTATGAAGTAATCAAACCCTCAATTTAATTGTTGTATCCTTATTAACATCGTTATCCCTTCAGCTTAATTATTTGAGTTAATCCCAACACTTCAGTCCCAATTCGTAAAAGAGAGTATGCAACATTATTCAATTCGAAGAAAGTTGGTATTACAAATGATTGTTGTATCATAAGATAATTGGTAGTAGGCACTTTTTACTAGGGAGTGACAAGTTCAAATACATTAAAGTAAAAATAGTTCTAAATTAATGGAGTTACAGGATAATACTGAGGACTTGAATTCAAATAATTCTCATCCAGTTAATTTTTCTCAAATTGTTCATTTCATTTATTCAATAGACATGTATGATAAAAATAAAATATACTCCCAACACTTCAAATGGCAGAGTATCCCATGCTTGGATTTCTATTAAACACTACACGGATATTTTAGAATCATCCTACGTGTAATCAGTAATCTGTTGGTTGTATCTTAGGGATTAACAGCTTCTTGTGTACCCTTGAGCTATGAAGTACTCGAAATTCAACGTTTGCCCTTGCTTTCCTACCGTAACTACTCTGATAGTTCAAGAATTTAATTTGTTTGCTCCATAATCTTTTTATTTTTTTAATACTTTTACATCCCATCATTAAAGTGATTGGATTTGGACCTTTTGATGCCATGGTTCCCCGGGAGCCATGACTCTGAAAGAGTAGCGACCTTGTTTTGGTTGGTTGCTTGGACCAGTACAATAATTTGCATGCACCTGGTAGGAATTTACTTAACATGCATGGCGAAATATATATATATTTGTGCTTAAAGAGAAACTGTGATAAAGAATTATACATTCGATGAATTCCTTGAAAAATAGTTCTAGTCTATAATTCACAGCTATCTAATTGTTTAATCTCCAATGAGAATTCACACAGGGAACAAAATTGAGAAAAATAGGATTTTTTCTTGTGCTAGCAACAATATAATTATGTTTAGTTATGAATTTTCAAACCCTATCCGCCTATTAATATAAGTTTAAGTCGGCTTTGTCTGTCTCTTAAACTTAATCCAGTCCAATATTTAATTAATCCAATTAATTAAATTTGTTACACGAATTAATTAATCCAACT